AGTGGGAGGTTGACTTGTAAGCATGCACTGCTACAATATGAGGTGTGATTAAAAAGTTACAGCAATACATCCATAAAAATTACAAACCTGGCCTGTTTAAGATCATTGACTCACCCTCCTCCGGACTGATATCAGTGCATCTGCTATTTTTAGATTCCTCCCTGGAAATCCTATTATGACCACTCGCAATGTTCCCTCGCAATGTGATTTCACCACCAACTTTAAGCATCCACTTCTCTTTTAATATGATCAAACCCACGTCTAGGCCTAAGCATAAATTCAGCGTCTCAGCTAAAAAGAGATGCCAAGACAAATCTGCTTATCATTTTTTTTTTAACACCGACTATGTTTTGCTCCATGAATTAGTCCTCCAATTCACTGCAGTTTCTTTAGGGTGCTGAGGATGAACATTTAGCGTGTCACTGTGACTTTTCTGGCCACACCAGCATCATTGCTGCTCACTACCTGCTCACTACCTGCTCACTACCTGCCTAATCACCAGCTGTGTCTCCCTGTAACTTGATCCACTTACTGTACCAAATTTCCCCTTGTGGGACAATTAAAGGATTATTCTATTCTAAAATTAAGCTAAAGAATAACGGTTCTGACAGACTGGAGAAGAGGCACAGGGTCAAGGGAAGAGAATGGAACTTCCTTTTAAAAAACCCACCAGTTCTGAAGGTGGTCCGAAGATACACAATAAGATTATCAGTCCATAAACATCAAAACCCACACCTGATAATTCCCCTGTACAGCGCTGTGAAAAAGTATTTGCCACTCTTAAATCAGGAATTAACTGTGATCAACCCAGCTTTTAGGAAAGCTGATTCATTTTCAGTAGTCAAATTCAGGTCTGATTAGTGCCAGATTCAAGAAATCACTTCAAAGAGCAGCACATCATGCAAAGAAACAGCTGAGAAACAAAGTCATTGGAATCAGTCTGGAAAGGTCTACAAAGCAATTTCTAAGGCTTTGGGACTCCAGCGAACCATGGTGAGAGCCATTATCCACAAATTGAACAGTGATGAACCTTCCCGGGGGGGGGGGCTGGCCTTCCAAAATTACTCTAAGACTGCATCCCCACATCAATGACTTATCCAGGAGGTTACAAAAGAACCCAGGACAACATCTAAAAACTGCAGGCCTCACTTGCCTCAGTTAAGGTCAGAGTTCATGATTCAACAGCAAGAACGATCTAGGCAAAGATGGCATCCAAGCCACGGCTGACCAAAAAGAACAAAAAGCACCAGCCAATTTGGACTCGCCAATAATCCTCATACACAACATCTTTATCTGTGGGAGGAAGAACATGTAAACTCTGTGCAGAAAGCCACCAGCTGACTGTGAATCTTTAAGCTAACCACATAAACGTTCCCAATTCAGTGTCTTTTTATTCCGTTATTTTATTAAGCACTCAGTCAACTGAGCCAGCAATTCAAATATCCCAGAAGATGATTTGATTCATGTATAATAGATGATTTCTTTCAGTCCTGTGGAGCAAACAGAGATCTTACTCAAGGACTTTTTCCTCCTTGGATGGATTCATTAAATATTACCAATTTATCTTAAAAGTCAGATACTCATCAATCCATCAGGCACAAATCAAGTGTCTGTCTCGTTTTTCAAATGAGGGTAAATCCGACAAAAATAGCAGAGTGAATATTAATTTACATTTTCAAGTCTTTTTCAGACTTGAATGAATTCGTTACAGTTATTGAATTCTCTGGGAATAAAAAGCTTGACTGATTTGTTTTGTTTGTTTGCAGCTCTGCTCTCAAAGTGCACATGTGAAGTTCTTTTTAATAAACATCTATTAAAAATCAAACCAAAATGAGCGTAGAATATGTGCCTGCGACTCACCCGTGATAACCAGAGTGTGTTTAATGCCGGCTTCATTCAGCATTCGTTGGATGTGGTTGTTGTACAGCGTGAGTGCTTGTCCTTTCCCACTCTGTGGGTTCACCAGCAGCATCATCTGGCACGGGTGGGACATTTGGCTCATCAACACTCCTACAATGCAGAGGAAAGGAAATGTAACTAAAGGAATGCACAAATATGATCAGAATAAGTACGACGGGTTTGAAGATACACAAATTGTATACTGGGAAACTGAAACTTGACCGCTTCTTTGCGAAATGATTTAAAGAAAATTTCTGAATTCACTGAGGCTTTATATTGGATATTTTTCATACTGCGCACGTCTCTGTGTTATACTTTATCTTCAATAGACCATCATAATTCTCGCCTTGTTTTCTTTAGTGTTTTGTGCCCCTTCAGCACCAGTGGGAGGACGGCCTGGCAGGATGATGTATGTGTTCTGTAGTGCCATAAAAAAAATGCTTGTGAATAAAATGAAAAAAAAAACAGATGGAGAGATGAATAGTTTTGGTTTTATTTTTATTTTTTTATGCACACAAGATGCAAGGTTAATCAGGGTAATGCGTTTACATCCACTGTGCCAAGCTGAAATGCAAATTTGCATTGAGTTGGCTAATAAGAAGGTCACCCCCTAGCATTTAGACATTTCAGTAAGGGTACACACATTGTACCAAGAAAGGAAGTAGTTTTTGTTGAAATGTCATAAAATATTAAACACAAAAGACACAGCACTAAATGTTCCTACATAAGAAAAGCCAGAAGCCAGGACACCTGGGAATCTGCACACTGGTATATTTGGAGATGCACACACAAACAGTAGCCTTATCTCTCCTAACCAGCTTTGGCCTCGTGTAAAGGAGAGGATGGGGGTGCAAAACGATTGTTACTGCTAAAATATTTCATTAATACCGCAACAGGAAGGAACCGATGGAGTGCAAGCCTGAATCGCCTGCATAGACCCAGCGGGATAAAAGGTCATGATAATGAATGCCTTCAGCGACAGAAACATGGGCCATACACAGAAACACTTCCAGCATGAACTAGAGCCTTGAATGTTCTGCACATTAATGTGAACTGATTTTTGGCTGATGCATGCATGTGTTGACCCACTGTTTTTGGTATTTTTTCTGCTTCAGCTGATCTTTTGCAAATTTTGTGCATTCTTTTAATGTGATAAATGTACTTTATTTAATCTAAATTTAATTTTGTGATATTACCTGTAATGTACCTGCAGCTGCTATGAAATACAGCTCATTTATTTAAGCACCCACTGATAAGGAGACTTTGTGCACAGACCTGACAGAAGTATTTGTGGACGCAAGCAGAAACAAAGGTCAGTGGCACACACTAACTTAGTCCAATGACACAGCTTGCATCTCAAGATGAATGTGCACAGCTCTGAGCTCTTTGCTAAATTTTCAACTGCGGGGTTGATGCAAATTAGGGATTGAAACAGCTATCAGAGGGTTACAAAGATCTCACAGTGATCTTTTTAACACAGTGAAGAAGACTGGGTGTGGGGGCTTAAAAAAACAGAGAGGAACTGCTGCTGGCCTTCTGTTCCTCTGAGGAGGACTAATTAGGTACTGCAATCCTGAATGCAATCTAGAGCATGCACGTTTAAAGTGGACCTATTAAGCCCTTTTTTATTTTCTCTCACTCATATAATATTACAGTGGCAGATGCCCAGATTAAACATGCTAAAATGTCAAATAATTAAGTCAGCAAAATGAAGTCTGAGCTTTTCCGAGTGCTCTTTCAGTCAGTTTTTAAAACTCGAATCCTCGCGATGGCAGTGAGAGGGGACGTTCTTTGAAGAGCTCTGACTCTAATCAGAGCAGCAGCATCCACCTGCAGTCCTTATGAAGGCCCAGTTAAAGGGACGCTGACTTAAAGGGAAAGAACTGACTGACTGGATTTTGTATTTACCTGTATAAGGTAAATAAGTGCTCATTTTAATATAAAAATTACACATTAGCCTAAAAGGTCCATTTTATCAGAAAGATTATTACTTAATATGCAAAGTACGATATGAGTTCTGAGAGAGAAACGAAAGACGATATCATGGTGATATCTCAAATGTTTTAGAAAGTTATAGAAAGAACATTTCTTGCCTCCCCACACAAAACCCATAAGCAAACTACTTCATGAATTTTCCATCTCATTCCTCCTCTCCCTTTCAGTGTGTTTTTGTTGGAGGTCAGATGGGAAATATTTAAAATAAAAGGCAAAAAAAAAAAAAAAAAAAACTCTGGTGAAGTTATCCGCTACATTTGACAAGCTGCAGCTAAGGGATCATTTTACAAACAGGTATGGGGGGGAGGGGGAGTAAACTCTTCTAAAAATAGTGTGATCCAATAAAAAAAAGTCTGTGTGTCATGCTATATTGTTTCAACTCAATATCCAAAAGCCCTACAGTAATATTCCTGAGAATCCTCAAATTTTGCATTGCAGTTGATTGGATTTTCATCCTAGCATGTCTGACAGCTGAACAACTGAAAATGCTTTAGTGATGAGTGTGTCTAACTGGTTAAAAACCTAACTGACAGGATGGGTTTTAATGTGCACCAGGTTACACAGTGATACCGCTGGAATGCAGAGAAACCGGAAAGATGTTTACACGTTACGGCACCTTAACAGTTTGACCTGAGGTGAAGTCTTCAGGCGTTAAGTCTTTTTACAGTAATCCTGAACTGAACCATTGCCACAACTTTATACACACTGCTGCCACTTTATTAGTTCTATCTAAGTAATATTGCAGCATTTGTGGATTAAACCGGTAATTTTGGAATCTGGACTATGTGGTGCTGTGGGATCAAAGCTCGATATTTGCTCATGCTTTAGAGCCAATAGACACATCTGAGTATATTTGCTTGTTTAATTTATTCTCATTTTGATATCTCATTTGTTATCTCATTATTCGTTTGTTGGAATAACTCAGAAGGGAATGGTAAATAAAGTGACAAATAAAACTTTATCCATTAATAGAGGACAACCCACACTATCCCCACTATTATTTTCCTGTATAAGGTCATCAGTGCTCTAGACACTAAGGAGAAGTTGGGGACTTGATTTAAGAAGTAATATGACATGTTTTTCTGTATATTTTCACTTTAAGCATGCAATTTCATTTGAATTACTTCTCATTTTTTCCCAAGAATTCAATTTTTTCCTTTTATTTCAGTAAAGCAGAAGAACTGTTAAGTGTTACTCAATACCCGTGTCCTTGATTGTAGTAATTCCAGGAATACATGCACAGGTTCCTCTATTTTGTTAATCGACCAGACTCTCTATCCTTCCTCTGACCTGCTGACTCCTCGTCCTCTCTGTGCAAACTGACGAGGCTTCTGCTGAAAATACACCCAGGACTACTCTGACTGGTGTGAGAGCAGTTTCTGTGTCACTTCAGAAATGAGCCACGCCACATTTTGGTGGAATTGCAAGATAATGCTTGCAATTCCACCAAAGCATTGGTACAATAAGCTCCAATTCAATTCAATTCAATTTATATAGCGCCAAATCACAACAACAGCCGCCTCAAGGCACTCCAGTGGCCAAGGCCGAGCCTGAACAAGTGAACTGTGCACAATTAAGTGCAGGGTTTCCCCTGAGCTGATGCTTTGTGGGATGGATAAATCCAGGAAACAGGAATACTTTTTTCTTACTCTCTCCGTTGTTTTATACAAATTCAGACTCGCTGTGGAGTTTTTATTACCTTCACAGTAACATAACCTTAATTACTTTAGGTCATCTTCACTTCACTGGGCTCTGCTTCATGTATTCATGAAACTATTGTGACTAAATGAAAGCAAAACGTACCAGCCTATCACTCTGAGCTCATAAAATGGAAGCATATAAATTAAAAAAAAAATACATTTACACTTTTCTTTTTTCTTTTTCGGGTTAGCAGAAGGTCCTTCAGGTAACGGTAATGGCAGG